AAAGATCACATAAAACTCTTGAAAGTAGCAAGAGAAAAGTCCCTTACTTTTGAGAGGGGGGAAAACCTGAAAGTGCAGATTTCTTATGAGAAACCACAGAAAGAAATGACACATTTTGAGGCACTGGAAGAAATAAGTATTAATCCAAAGTTTTCCAAGAATGAAGGATACCTACATTATTAATTGGGGACATGCAAATAAATATCATGATACCACTTTACGCCTACTATGGTTGTCATGTTAATGATTTTTTAATGGAATATAAGTGATGCTATGGTGTCATGAAATCTGAGTCCTTGTATATCGCCATTGAAAATGTTGGATAGTGATGTTGCAGTGGAACAATGCGGCACCTGCTTAAAAATTAGAATTATTTTTAAAAGATTTATTTATTCAAAAGGCACAGTTACAGATAGGCAGAGGCAGAGAGAGTTCTTCCACCTGCCGGTTCTCTCCCCAAATGGCCGCAGTGGCTGGAGCTTTTTCCAGGTCTCCCATGCAGGTGCAGAGGTCCAAGTACGTGGGCCATCTTCTACTGCTTTATCAGGCCATAGAGAGAGCTGGATTGGAAGTGGAGTAGATGGGACTTGAATTGGTGCCCATATGGAAAGCCAGCACTGCAGGTGGCAGCTTTACCTGCTATACCGCAGCGCCAGCCCCTAGAATTATTTTTTAAAAGATTTATTTGAGGCCAGCGCCCGGCTCAATAGGCTAATCCTCCGCCTTGCGGCGCCGGCACACTGGGTTCTAGTCCCGGTTGGGGCGCCGGATTCTGTCCCAGTTGCCCCTCTTCCAGGCCAGCTCTCTGCTGTGACCAGGGAGTGCAGTGGAGGATGGCCCAAGTGCTTGGGCTCTGCACCAACATGGGAGACCAGGAGAAGCACCTGGCTCCTGGCTTCGGATCAGCGCGATGCGCCGGTCGCAGAGTGCCGGCCGCGGCAGCCATTGGAGGGTGAACCAACGGCAAAAAGGAAGACCTTTCTCTCTCTCTCTCACTGTCCACTCTGCCTGTTTAAAAAAAAAAATATTTGAAACTCGGAGAGAGAGGGACAGAGATCTTTCATCCACTGGTTCACTCCCCAGATGGCCACAATGGCCAGGGCTGGGCCAGGCTGAAGCCAGGAGCCACCTTCCTGGTCTCCCACATGGGTAGCAGGGGCCAAGCATGTGGCGGCCATCTCCTGCGGCTTTCCCAGGTGCATAAGCAGGGAGCTGGATCAGAAGTGGAGCAGCAGGGACACAAACCAGCACCCATACAGGATTCTGGCATCACTAGCAGCAGCTTAACCTGCTACACAACACTGGCTCTTTTTTTAAAATTTTTTGAAAAAGTGCAGAATTACCATGATGCAACCATGGATTTCATAAGAAACTTTTTTTAATGGTTTATTTATTTGAAAAGGAGGCAGGGGGAGGGCTGGGGAAAGGGAGAGGGAGATCGATCTTCTATTCCGCTGGTTCACTTCCAAAATGGCTGCAACCACCAAGGCTGGGCCAGACAAAACCCAGGAGTTTCTTCCAGGTCTCCTATGTTATGGGTAGGGCCCAAAGCATTTGGACCATCTGCTGCTTTCCCATGCCATTATCAGGGAACTGCATCAGAAGTGGAGCAGCTAGGACTGGAACTGGTGCCCATATAGCATGCCAGCATTACACACGACAGCTTTACCTGCTGTGCCACACCACCAGTCCCAAGTTAAAAATTTTCCACAAAGAGGACATGTTGAGACTTAAAACTTAAGCACAAATGTGGAAATGTCCAAAGATTACTATACAAATAATCAAAACTTATTTACATAGCCTATACTGGGAGTTTTCTTACATAAGAAAACATCCTTGATCATCTGTAAGTTTATAATTGTACTTTTAAAGTTTAGCTATTTAAGGAGGCCAGCACTATGGCACAGCGGTTAAAGCCCCAGACTACACCACCGGCATCCCACATGGATGCTAGTTCGTGTCCTAGCTGCTTCTCTTCCTATCCAGCTCTCGGCATGGCCTGCAAAAAGCAGATGGCCCAAGTCCATAGGCCCCTGCACTCACCATGGGAGACCTGGAAGAAGCTCCTGGCTCCTGATCAGCTCAGCTCTGCCGGTTATGGTCATTTGGGGAGTGAACCAGCGGATTGGATGACCTCTCTCTCTTTGGCTCTACCTCTCTGTAAATCTTTCAGATAATTAAGTCTTAAAAAAAAGTTTAGCTATTTAAAAAGCTGTCCATTAGTACGCCATAATTTCTAGTTCTTTGCACTTAAAAATATATATGCTGTGGCCAGGGAGTGCAGTGGAGGATGGCCCAAGTGCTTGGGCTCTGCACCCCATGGGAGTCCAGAAGTACCTGGCTCCTTCCATCGGATCGGCGTGGTGCGCCGGCCGCGGCGGCCATTGGGGGATGAACCAACGGCAAAGGAAGACCTTTCTCTCTGTCTCTCTCCCTCTCTCACTGTCCACTCTGCCTGTCAAAAGAAAAAAATAAAAAATAAATAAATAAAAATATATATATATGAATCCATGTCCTATCTATAAAAATAAATTGTGTGGCTGATGTTGTGGCATAGCAGGTAAAGCTACCAACTGCAACACTGGTATCCCATATGGGTGATGGTTTGTGTCCCCGTTGCTCCACTTTCAACCCAGCTCCCTGCTAATGGCCTGGGAAAAGCAGTGGAGGATGGCCCAAGTGTTGAGTCCCTGCCACCTATGTGGAAGACCCAGTTAAAGCTCCTGGCTTCCGCCTGGCTCAGCCCTGGCCCTAGTGCCCATTTGGGAAGTGAACCAGCAGATGGAAGATCTCTCTCTGTCCTTCTAATTCTTTCAAATAAATAAATACTGAAAAATAAAACGGTAATGTGGATACAATGTTCCACAGAACATAGCTATTTGATGATATAATCACTAAGTCAAGAGGAGGATGGCACATGTAGAGATGCCACAAATACTTTTTATTTTTTGTGTCACATAGTGAAACATCTGGGAAGGTGTTCAAGAGCATCAGTTCAGGACTTGAAGCCACAATGCTCAGCCCATTCTCACCATTCATTGCTCACCCATGGAATGAGTGACTTGCATCTTTGCTCATTAATACAATTCTTGTTAGTCACCATTGCGAGTATTACAATATTGAATCATCTAGAAATAAATTTCTTTTCAAATGAAATAAGCCCTAGGTCCTCACAGTTCTCAATGTAAGTCTGTGACCTTACCTATTTGCTCTAATTATTTCACTCTACTATGTTCATCCTGCCTGTTCTCATCATACCCCCTCTCTAAACATAATTACAAATAGGGCTGAAATTCAGTGAGGTTTTGCTCAGATAAGGAATTACATATTTTACCTACGCCCCTATCTAGTCTAAATTTTTTCTTTTTACAGGCAGAGTGACAGTGAGAGAGAGAGAGACAGAGAGAAAGGTCTTCCTTTGCCATTGGTTCACCCTCCAATGGCCGCCGCAACTGGCGCACCGCGCTGATCCGAAGGCAGGAGCCAGGTGCTTCTCCTGGTCTCCCATGGGGTGCAGGGCCCAAGCACTTGGGCCATCCTCCACTGCACTCCCGGGCCACAGCAGAGAGCTGGCCTGGAAGAGGGGCAACCGAGACAGAATCCGGCGCCCTGACCAGGACTAGAACCCGGTGTGCCGGCGCCGCTAGGCGGAGGATTAGCCTATTGAACCGCGGCGCTGGCCGTCAGGTCTAAATTTTTATCATGTGTTTTTCCTTATCACTGTTTATTGCACTGAGTATTTGAGAGCAGGACTGAAAAGTATGTGGAAATGCTTTTATGTTAACAATTGTGGTCCCTTTGCATAGGCCAGAACCATGACCTGTCTTCCTGATTATTGAGATATGGCTTATAGTTTGTCCATTAAAAAAAAAAAAAGTTCATTTAAATGCCTACAATGACAGCATGTTCATATGCTGTACATTTGGTTATAAGAGATCGTTCTCAAAGTGGGCCTTCAATAATATAGTTAATGTTGAGTATACTATTCTTACAATGCTGAGAAGTTATTATCTTAGCAGGTTTCCAATTTTCAAACATCAAATTTTGCTATTTTCTATTTGAGTTTTTAAAGACCCACATTTCCTTTGAGGTAGATTAAAGTACAAAAGGATCTAGTATATAGAAAATATTTCTCACAATTCTCTTTTGTTATTTCTGTTCACTGAAATTTTACTAGTGTATCTCCCTTCTCCTAATCCCTTTCTCTTGCATGATTTTATTTTTTTTTGAATTTTTTTTATTTTTTTGACAGGCAGAGTGGACAGTGAGAGAGAGACAGAGAGAAAGGTCTTCCTTTTGCCGTTGGTTCACCCTCCAATGGCCGCCGCCGCCGGCGCACCGCGCTGATCCGATGGCAGGAGCCAGGAGCCAGGTGCTTTTCCTGGTCTTCCATGGGGTGCAGGGCCCAAGCACTTGGGCCATCCTCCACTGCACTCCCTGGCCACAGCAGAGGGCTGGCCTGGAAGAGGGGCAACCGGGACAGAATCCGGCGCCCCAACCGGGACTAGAACCCGGTGTGCCGGCGCCGCAAGGCGGAGGATTAGCCTAGTGAGCCGCGGCGCCGGCCTCTCTTGCATGAATTCTTTTATGTTGAATCAGGTAGAAGTTAAGCTATTGCTAAATATATATTTATATAATGAGACCTAAAGGATTTCCCTCAAATATGAATGATCTAGTTTTGTCTAAGTGTTGAGTTATAGGTAAAGGCTTTTATATTTGAGTCCATATATCCAGAATGGTCTTGTACATTAACACAATTATTAGGTTTCTTTTTAGTTGAGTTTTTCCAGTTTGAATCCCTACTAAAGACCTGTCTACAATGATTACATCTGGAGTTGTTCATCTCTAAAATGAATAATTTTATGTTGAGACACTTCTGGATGTTTGCTAGTATCTACTCTAGCTGAAAAGACTTACATGTACCCTTGGACTTAGTAACTCCAGTCCTAGGTGTAAATCAAACATAAATACAAACACAAAAACCAAAATATATAAACAAATACTTATAGCAGTATTTTTATTAAAACAGAAAATTATAAAAAAATACAAATATCCAGCAATAGGATAAATAGCCAATATATTCTTAAAATGGAATAGCATACAAAATTAAAATGAATACACTACTGCCACATGCAATAATGTACAAGTCTTTAAAATGTTGAGTGAAGCAAGACACATTCATGATGTATGATCATATATAAAACATGCAAAAAACTACTTTATGACATTACAAGCCAGGGAAATGGTAATCTTTGGAAAAGAAACTAACTACGCTTTATTACACAGAGTACAATGAGAAATAGTTCATAGATATTTTGTTTCTCATCTGGAGAAACCAATGCTTATAACCACTTCATAATTTGCCTCTGCCTCTGCATGTATTTTTTAAAAAATAAAGTATGAGTTAAAAACTTTCAAAAATAGTTCATAGCTGTAAGACTTCACTAAAATGATTATACCCATTTTATTCACTAATAAACAGTAGTTATGTGGTATGGTACTTAACAACCATGATTACGTTTGTGATTAAAATTACATAGAACTGTAAAACATGCTTTCTTTAAAAAACCCTAAAAATTAACAATAACTTGTGAAGACCTCACAAAGAAATCAAATCATTTATTGCATTTCCATATTTTCTGCCTTGTGAGTTCTCTGATGGACAATGAGATTTCTCTTATAACTAAAGGACTTCCCACACTCATTACAAACATAAGGCTTCTCACCTGTGTGAGTTCTCTGATGTACAATGAGATTCGTCTTCTGGCGGAAGCACTTTCCACATTCATTACATTTATATGGTTTCTCTCCAGTGTGAGTTCTTTGATGATGAATGAGATATGACTTCCTACTAAAAGCTTTCCCACATTGAGGACATTCATAGGATTTCTGCCCTGTATGTATTTTCTGGTGTACAGTGAGGGTTGCTTTCTGGCGAAAGGACTTCCCACATTCATTACAGATATAGGGTTTCTCCCCTGTGTGAATTCTCTGATGCAGATTGAGATTTGTCTTCTGACTGAATGACTTCCCACATTCATTACATTCATATGGTTTTTCCCCTGTATGAGTTCTGTGGTGATCAATGAGGTATGACTTCATTCTAAAGGCCTTCCCACAGTGAGGACACTCATAAGATTTCTCTCCTGTGTGTGTTCTCTGATGTGCTACAAGAGTTGTCTTCTGGCGGAAGGACTTTCCACATTCATTACAAATGTAAGGTTTCTCCTCATTATGAGTTTTCTCATGAAGAGCAAGGGTTGTCTTCTGGGAGAAGGATTTCCCACACTCATTACAAATATATGGCTTCTCCCCTGTGTGAGTTCTCTGATGGACAGTAAGGTTTGCCTTTTGGTGAAAAGACTTCCCACATTCTTTACAAATATAGGGTTTCTCCCCAGTATGAATCCTCTGATGTAGAGACAGTGTTGTCTTCTGACGGAAGGACTTCCCGCAGTCATTGCATTCATATGGTTTCTCTCCTGTATGAGTTCTCTGGTGACGAATGAGGTGTGACTTCAATCTGAAGGCATTCCTACACTGTGGACATTCATATGATTTCTCCCCTGTATGTGTTCTCTGATGATCTGTGAGAGCTGTCTTTAAACGGAAAGACTTTCCACATTCATTACAAACAAAGGGTTTCTCTCCTGTGTGAGTTCTTTGGTGATCAATGAGATAGGACTTCCTTCTAAATGCATTTCCACACTGATGGCACTGATAGGGTTTTTCCTCTGTGTGAATTCCCTGATGAAGAATCAATACTGACTTCCTGCAGAAGGATTTCCCACATTCAGAGCATGTATGTTTTTTTTCAATATTAGTTGCTCTTCTCTTTTTATTGAACACAGATGAGTTTTCCCCTCTGTATGCTCTGTTATGTGTAACTGTAACTAAGCCTCCCCTTTTAAGGAATGATTTCTCACTTTCATCATATCCAAATGACTGAGCTGGAGTTCCCATCTTCTGATACTGCATAAGCCCTTCATTATGGTTGAAAGCCCTGGCATTCTGATTATGGGATCTGACTTGAGGATGAGCTTTCTCTTGCTTCGTACTGAGGAGTGAGTTCCCATATCCATTATACTCACTAAGTCTCTTTCTTGCAGGACTTAGATTACCGATGATTAATTCTGAAACACTTTCCAAAATCTTTCCATGAGTATCATATTCAGGAGGTAATATTTTTGAATCAACAGAGTTTTTGCCTAGAATGATTGATTTTGACTTTTCATATATGTTACTCTTCTCTTTAATTGGTTTCTTATGGTTGATGCATACAATTGATCTGGAATACTTATCTTTATGTTCCTTGAATTTTACTAAAAAGTCTTCAGTTTTCCAGTTTTCTTCTAGAAAAGAATATAATTTATAACAACTTATGAATCTTCACATAAAGACCCAGGACAAATTACTGCCTACCTGGAATATAAACATTAAACTTAAACAAAAACTCTTGCTTCAGTGGGAAACAGATGAAAAAAATAAGCAATGATCCTTGAAACACGTTGTCCACCTTGCAATAGAACTTCATACAGAAAGCCAAACAGAAGTCAAAGAATGTGGAAAAGGGATTGATGGTTAGATATGTGGATTCAAAGAAAATAAGGTGACTCTATCAAGGGCATAAAACTCTAAGACAAAAAGAACGAGTAGTAATGTTTGTTCAAAGAAAATATTAGAGGAAGGATTACTTTTGGAGTACACAGAATGCCTATATTTTCATATATGGATCCCTAGATTACTGAAGTAAAACACTTTTGATTGTTCCACACACTTTCCCTTTCCATGTAGCTATTATTTGCTACTTAAACCTTTTAAGTATCAACTACTTCCTAAGTATTTATGAAAAAATTCCATTATCTAAGCTCTAATCCTTCAAATAGCTGGGAATAATATTCTCATGTGAGGGGAAAAGTAGAAAAATACCCTAACAAGAAATTTCAAACAGACTAGAATATGTTCAATTGAAATTTCCAGGTTGCTGCTACATCAGTTATTTCAGAATACTTCAATAACAAAACTCTCATGACCATCAATTATAATTACTATTCTTTTTAGCTGCTTTTACCTTTTCAGTTTTAGGGAAAATATTGGTTTAAAGCTTTCTCCAATAAAGTAGCATTCCTTCATTCCAGTTTTTCATATGGTACACCAGAAAGACAAGTTTGTTCAATTTGGTTCTAGGTCATTCAATAAGTTTAAATTTTTATTTCTCTTATAAATTTTAGTTATATTTGATGTTAGTTACCCTGCAATCATTTAATCTAATGAAACAATGATAAAACTAGCATCAAAAATCTGTTTCTTCCTGAGTCCATTTAACATAACCAAGGAATTTCTCTTATATATAAAACTTTTGCCGGTTCCATGACTCACTAGGCTAATCCTCCGCCTTTGGCGCCAGCACTCCGGGTTCTAGTCCCAGTTGGGGTGCTGGATTCTGTCCCAGTTGCTCCTCTTCCAGTCCAGCTCTCTGCTGTGGCTCAGGAAGGCAGTGGAGGATGGCCCAAGTGCTTGGGCCCTGCACCTGCATGGGAGACCAGGAGGAAGCACCTGGCTCCTGGCTTTGGATCGGTGCAGCACGCCAGCCGTAGCGGCCATTTGAGGGGTTAACCAATGGAAGGAAGACCTCTCTCTCTCTCTGTCACTGTCTAACTCTACCTGTCAAAAAACAAAAACAAAAACAAAAAAAACCTTTCCTTTATTAATTTGAGAGCAGAGTTATAGAGGAAGGGAGACACAGAGAAATCTTCCATTGGCTGGTTCACTCCCCAAATGGCTGCAACAGCTGGAGCTGGATTGATCCAAAAACCACAAGCCAGGAGCCTCTTCCAGGTCCCCAACGTGGGTGCAGGGGCACAAGCACCTGGGCCATCTTCTACTGCTTTCCCAGGCCATCAGCAGGGAGCTGGATGGGAAGTGGAGCAGCTAGGACTTGAACTGGGACCTTTATGGGACGCTGGCACCACCAGAGGAGACCTAACTATGCCACAGTGCCAGCCCCACAAAACTTTATATCAGGCTTACTTTTAATATTCACACAGCTTTTCAGGGTTGTTCACATATCTGACCAATGTCAGCCCGAAGAAGTATGTTTATGTCAGTCACTTAACTGTTCTAAGCATACCTTGCTTACTCCCTGTCCTGTGTTTATGTTCTTTGACTCAAGTAGCCTCAGTCTTCCTTCTACTCATATTTAGAAAAACCTGAAGAAAATACCAACATTCTATGATTTCAAAAACACTTCACATATTTCCCCACCTCTTTAAGCTGTTTCCTTAAAATGTGAATTTATTTATGGTCTAGAGAAGTAATTTTAAGAATCTTGCATATTGCCAAATACTTCATGAAAAATACAGATTTGATAGTAACCCTCTTATAGAAACTAACAATTAACTGGTTATATTTTTGAACCCCTCTGAGTTTAAATTATTTTGTGTATCACTGATAGGTGGTATAGAGTCTAATCACCTGAAAAAGCATATTTAGGGTCATGGCATGAGCAGGTATAGCTGAAAGAATTTTAACCAGTATATGCTTTATGAATGAATGAAAAACATATCTCCCCTACATAGCTCCACAAACAATGAAGTAACAATGAAGTACTGAATATACTATAGTAAAGAAATTCAAACACAGGATCTTATCTTTGGGGGGAAGGAATCCTTAAGCATAAGGCATATACTATATGGCATCAAATTATATTGCCATATTAAAGCAAGGTATGTATGTGTTGGGGAGCAGAGTATAGGTAGCACAGAATTCAGAATACGGAAAGGTAGATACATGAAGAAATCAAAGAATAGTTCATAGAGAAAAAATCTTGAGACTTAAACAACATGTATTATAGGAAAGGATAGAACAACACAATGAAAAGTACCCATTTAATGCCTACATTTGTGGAGAATATTTGAAAGATTAGATCAATCGGACATTAGAAAGAAGTTTCTACAAAAAAGAGCTGAAAAGAACAGATGGCTTCATGTCTCAAAGAAAATAAATTTTGTAAAATAAGTAATAAAAAATATAAAACACGTGGTTATATTTACTGTTAGGAAAATAACACTGTAAATTGCATGAGTTAGGACAAAATTATCACAAAACCAGACCATAATTACAATAATGAAGACATGAAATAGGAGTGCTCATTTTGTATAAAATCAGTGACAAATGAGAATTCTGTTGGATCAATGTATTTCACAGACTGATCACAAATTGTAAACAGATCCACAAAAAATGAGGACAAAGAAGATTCAAACTGACATCATGGCTGGAACAAAATAATTTAGAAATAGATAATGGAAACAAATTTAAGAGCTGAAAAAAGTGGTTTTAATTTCTGACATATCACAAAATAGGCAAAAAGACAGACTGTACAAATCCTGAGGGATTACAGTGGTAATACGAAAAAATGAGTGTTAGAGCCATTTACATAAAGCCAAGAGCTTATGTCTGACAACAGATGGGATTATAATTTTTTTAAAAGATTTATTTATTTTATTTGAAAGAGTTAGAGAGAAAGAAGAGAGATCTTCCATCCTCTGGTTCACTCCACAAATGGCTGCAATAGCCAGAGGGGAGTTGAGCTGATCCAAAGCCAGGACCCAGGAGCTTCTTCTGGGTCTCCCATGTGGGACCAGGAGCCAAAGTATTTGGGCCTTCTTCGGCTGCTCTCCCAGGTGCATTAGCGGGAGCTGGATCAGAAGTGGAGCAGCTGGGGCTTGAACCGGCAGACACGTGGAATGCCCGTGCTGTAGGCAGCAGTTTTATCCGCTTCACCACAGCACTGGCCCTGGGATTATAATTTAGAAGCAGATCCCTTGAGGACAAATTAGTGAAATAAGAGTGAAGTACAGTGAAACAACATCTATTAAAGTGTGTGTGTGTGTGTGATATTATCATGTGCTAGGCATTGTTCAGATAATAATGGTCACAGTGGGGAAGAAAAGAGAAAATTTGCATTAAGCACACAAGGAACATGGTAATAAGGAATGAGGTCTGTTTTAGCAAAACCAAGTGTTGATTTCAGGAATAATGACCAGTTATATAAAATGAGCCACAAAAATTTAATGGAAGAAAATGATAATTGTGGAATTATCAGTCTGAGCTGAGCCAAATGAATTTGAAAATTAACAGCTAGATTTTTTTTTTCTTTTGAAAGACAGAATTACACACACACACACACACACAGAGGCAGAGATAAAGGGAGAGATCTTCCATCTGCTGGTTCACTCCCTAAATGGCCTCAATGGTCGGAACTGGGCCAGGTCAAGGCCAGGAGCCAGGAACATCATCCAGGTCTCCCATGTGGGTGCAGGGGCCCAAGTACTTGGGCCATCCTCCATTGCTTTCTCAGGCACATCAGCAGAGAGCTGGATCAAAAGTGGAGCAGCTGGGAATCAATGAGCACCCATATGTGAACCTGACATTCCAGGAGGCAGCTTAACCCATTATGAAACAATGCCAGCCGCCCAACAGCTAGATTTATGGTGAGAATGGTAACTTAGACCTGGTACAGAAAACAAATCTGAGGTATAATGAAGGAAAGCTAAAGAAAGGAAATAGTAAGTAACTAAACAGAACATTAACTATTGCTGTTGATTCGTTCTGAGAGGAGGAGCGAGGTGGGGGCAAGAGGTGCAGAGTTACCACACAGACCCCGGGAGTCCGGTGAAAGCGGGCCAGAGGCAAGCAGCTGGCAGACTCGTTTATTTCAGTTGGTACAGCAGCTTTTATAGCCGAGGCAGCCAATCTGGTCAAGAGGCAGTTTATGCCCTAATCAATCATAGCCCATTGCCAGGCAGGCTCTGTTGCCAGGTGGTTTCCCAGGGGGTTTCCGAAGCCAGTCCTAACTGATGCTAGCCTGCCAGTGGCCTTCTTGGCATGGCCTTCTCATTCCACCACAATTAGCCAAGAAGTTGCTCTCTCTCTCTCTCTTTTTTTTTTTTTTTAATTTATTTGACAGGTAGAGTTACAGACAGAGAGAGAGAGAGAGAGAGAGAGACAGAGAGAGAAAGGTCTTCCTTCCTTTGGTTCACTCTCCAAATGGCCACTACAGCCAGTGCTGTGCTGATTCAAAGCCAGTCAGGAGCCAGGTGCTTCTCCTGGTCTCCCATGCAGGTGCAGGGGCCCAAGCACTTAGGCCATCCTCCACTGCCCTCCCGGGCCACAGCAGAGAGCTGGACTGGAAGAGGAGTAACTGGGACTAGAACCTGGCACCTGGCGCCCATATGGGATGCTGGCGCCACAGGTGGAGGATTAACCAAGTGATCCACAGCACCAGGCCCAACCAAGAAGTTTGTCTTTTTTAAAGAAAAAGAATACTTGAAAAAAATCTATGATATCATCATAAGGACTAAGAATGCTATATAGAGAGACATTAATCAAGAAAAAACTTAGTAGAAATGAGCCATAAGCCTTTAAAACAAAAAGATTTATTTATTTATCTGAAAGGCAGAATGGAGCCACCTCATGGCGTAGCAGTTAAAGCCCCCGCCTGTGATAGCCAGCATCCCATATACCAGTTTTGGTCCCAGCTCCGCTTCCAGTGTACCTCCCTGCTAATGGCCTGGAAAAGCAGCTGAAGATGGCCCAAGTACTGGGGCCCTTGCACCCATGTGGTAGACCAGATAAAGTTCCTGACTCCTAGTTTTGGGCCAGCCCTAGCCATTGTGGCCATCTGGGGAGTGAACCAGTGGCTGGAAGATTTCTCTGTCTCTCCCTCTAACTCTTTAAAAACAAACAAAAGCCCTGCAGAGTTATAGAGATATGGAGAGAGAGGGAGAGAAAGAGAGTCTGTCTTCCATCTGCTGGGTCATTCTCCAAATGGCTGCAGCAGCTGGCACTAGGCTAGGCTGAAGCCAATAGCCAGGAGCTTCATCCAGGTCTCCTACATGGGTGGCTGAGGCCAAAGCATTTAGGCCATCTTTAGCTGCTTTTCCAGGCCACCAGTAGGGAGTTGGATCCAAAGTGGAGCAGCTAGGTAATGAACCAGTTAATACTCATATGAGGTACTGATAGCACAGGCGGTGGCTTAAACTCACTACAGCGCAATACAGGCCCCTATATACCGCCTTTTAGACAAACTGGCAACTGTCTTGATATAACAAAAAAACTAGAAAACAATGTATTTGGGAAGAACAATATTTAAGAGTCTCGTTTTAAGTTTTGTATTTATGAAGGCCATTTAAATAGATAATCCTAAAACACTTCAAAAGTACTAACCTCAGTTTGACCCCTTTAAAACTTGCTCTGCATTAGGTATCATCTGCTGGGCAATTAGAAACTCACCTAAGGTATGACCTAAAAATGATGTCCATGGCTCTTCTCCTCGTTCCAGTTTGAGGATCACATCAGGCTTGGTCATGTGACACCCTGATATGGAAAAATAAAGACTTAACTGAAGTTGGTTGGCTTCAATATCTTTGATAAAGGAGTAAGGTGTTATGTTCAGTTACTATAAATGATGATACTAATTTGTGTAACAGTAAACTTAGCAGCTTACATAAAGCAAGTTAAGACACAAGAATCCTTTCTGCTCCCAAAAGGAATTCATCACCCTGTATCCCTGAAATTCAAGGTTACACATATTTCAGGTACTAGAAGAAGAAATGAATGATACTGGACGTTCCAAATGGTTTTTCTTACCCACAGAGATGAGGTGGCAATAGTTTTCCAACATCACATCCATGTAGAGAGTCTTCTGAGCAGGATCAAGGTGCTGCCACTCTTCTTGAGTAAAGTCCACAGTCACATCTTTGAATGACAATGATCCCTGTAACTGATTGGAATTGTGATCAGATTGACCAAACACTGGGAACCACTCTTTTTAAAAATTTTTTTATAAGATTTATTTATTTATTTGAAAGTCAGAGTTACACAGAGAGAGAAGGAGAGGCAGAGAGAGAGAGGTCTTCCATCCACCGGTTCACTCCCAAATTGGCCTTAATGGCCGGAGCTGCATCAATCTGAAGCCAGGAGCCAGGAGCTTCTTCTGGGTCTCCCACATGGGTGCAGGGGCCCAAGGACTTGGGCCATCTTCTACTGCTTTCCCAGGCCATACCAGAGAGCTGGATTGGAAGTGGAGCAGCTGGGACTCGAGCTGGCGTCTATATGGGATGCTGGCACTGTAGGTTTTACCTGCTACGCCACAGCACCAGTCCCGGGAACCACTTTTAACTCTGCCCCATTATAGTATTAATTATGAAACTTTGTAAAGTGAAGATTATAATTTTGTGATTTATAATGTGGGGGAAAATACCTGCCACTGAACTCTCTAATAATGCATTCTAAAAGCATTCAGTGTCCCGCCGGCGCCGTGGCTCACTAAGCTAATCCTCCGCCTTGCGGCGCCGGCACACCGGGTTCTAGTCCCGGTCGGGGCGCCGGATTCTGTCCAGGTTGCTCCTCTTCCAGGACAGCTCTCTGCTGTGGCCAGGGAGTGCAGTGGAGGATGGCCCAAGTACTTGGGCCTTGCACCCCATGGGAGACCAGGAGAAGCACCTGGCTCCTGCCATCAGATCAGCGCGATGCGCCGGCCGCGGTGGCCATTGGAGAGTGAACCAACGGCAAAAAAAGGAAGACCTTTCTCTCTGTCTCTCTCTCTCTCACTGTCCACTCTGCCTGTCAAAAAAAAAAAAGAAAAAAAAAAAAGAAAGCATTCAGTGTCAAGTTCCTTTATCTATGTATCTATATATTTATTTATTTAAGAACAGTCAGGAGAGGGAGGGCACTCCCACCTGCTGGTTCTCCCTAACACTACTTCCACCCCACAAATAGTTGCAGTGGCACTGAACTGGGCCAGGGGCCTAAGTTGGGAGACAGTAACTCAATCCAGGCGTTCCACTTGGGTGGCAGACACCCAGTTACTTGAGTCATTACCATTGCTTTCCAGGGTCTGCATTAGCAGGAAGCTGAAGTCAGGAGCAGGAGCTGGGTATTGAACCCTGGCACTCTGATATGGGATACAGGTCATCTTAATTGTCATCTTAGGCCATCTTAATTGTCAACTAGGCAGATTTCCCCTGCCCTGTGAAGTTACTTTATGGCCCAAACCTGTACTGGTTTAAAAACAAAAAGACTGTACTGGTTTAAGGAGGTGCCAAAGCAAATGAAATTGCCCCTGCTCAGGAGAAGTTATAGTCTCAGAGGCATATAATACATGAAAGAAAGTATATATATAAGCACAAACCTTCAAAATGGTGTGACAGGTACAACATGAAAATATATACAAGATACAATGTATCACAAAAGTGGAATAATTACTTAGGTTTCACCAAGAAGGAAGACTTCCATCTTCCTCACACAAATGTGTTAGGTAAAGAAGAAAATTATATGGGAGGCACTGTGGTGTAGCGGGTAAAGCTGCTGCCTGGCCGGCGCCGCAGCTCACTAGACTAATCCTCTGCCTTGCGGCGCCGGCACACCGGGTTCTAGTCCCGGTCGGGGCGCCGGATTCTGTCCCGGTTGCCCCTCTTCCAGGCCAGCTCTCTGCTGTGGCCAGGGAGTACAGTGGAGGATGGCCCAGGTGCTTGGGCCCTGCACCCCATGGGAGACCAGGAGAAGTACCTGGCTCCTGCCATCGGATCAGCGCGGTGTGCCGGCCGCAGCGCGCCAGCCCTGGCAGCCATTGAAGGGTGAACCAACGGCAAAGGAAGACCTTTCTCTCTGTCTCTCTCTCTCACTGTCCACTCTATCAAAAAAAAAAAAAAAAAACCATGCCTGCAGTGCTGGCATCCCATATTGGGGTGCCAGTTCAAGTCCCAGCTGCTCCACTTCTAATCCAGCTCTCTGCTATGGCCTGAGAAAGCAGTAGAGGATGCCCAAGTCCTTGGGCCCCTGCAGCCACGTGGGAAACACTAAAGAAACTCCTGGCTCCTGGCTTTGGATCACCTAAGCTCTGACTATTGCAGCTATTTGGGGAGTGAACCAGCAGATGGAAGACCTTTCTCTCTGTGTTTCCCTCTCTCTGTAATTCTACCTCTCAAATAAATAAAATCTTAAAAAAAAAAATTAAATAGTTTTTTTATTTGACAGGTAGAGTTATAGACAGTGAGAGAGAGAGAGAGAGAAAGGTCTTCTTCCGTTGGTTCACTCCCCAAAAGGCCGCCACAGCTGGCGCTGCTCCAATCCGAAGCCAGGAGCCTGGTGCTTCCTCCTGGTCTCCCATGCAGGTTCAGGGGCCCAAACACTTGAGCCATCCTCCACTGCCCTCCTGGGCCACAGCAGAGAGCTGGACTGGAAGAGGAGCAGCCAGGACTAGAACCGGCATCCACATGGGATGCCGGCGCTGCAGGCGGAGGATTAACCAAGTGAGACACGGCGCCGGCCCCTGAGGTTTCATTCTAAGCAAGTTAACTGTCTACTTGCGGGGCGGGGAGAGGGGAACCACAATTATCCTCAGAACAACATAAAAATTTAGATTAATTTATTACTCATCAGTTGCAGTTTCCAGCAGAAAACAGTGTACATTCAAACAAAACAGAATGTATAAGGGGAATATGGAATATGATCTATATTCACGTAAACACAGAGAAACTGATCCCTTGTGAGCTCTGGGGTTTGATTTTGCCAAAGGAAAAAAAACAAAAAAACCTTCAAAGCAGCTATTCTAGGCCGGCGCTGCGGCTCACTAGGCTAATACTCTGCCTGCGGCGCCAGCACCCCAGGTTCTAGTCCCGGTTGGGGTGCCGGGTACTAGTCCCAGTTGTTCCTCTTCCAGTCCAGCTCTCTGCTGTGGCCCGGGAAGGCAGTGGAGGATGGCCCAAGTGCTTGGGCCCGGCATCCGCATGGGAGACCAGGAAGAAGCACCTGGCTTCTGGCTTTGGATCGGCGCAGCACACTGTGCTGGCCATAGCAGCCATTTGGGGGGGTGAACCAGTGGAAGGAAGACCTTTCTCTGTCTCTCTCTCTCTCTCTCTCTCTCTCACTGTCTAACTCTGCCTGTCCAAAAAAAAAAAAAAAAAAAAGCTTATTTCTAATTGTTGTTCAAAGAAAGTATGTAAACTCTGAAGTGGAATCTCAAAATATAAACTATTAAGAAAGCAACAAATGAAAACTCAGGAATGAGAAAGCACACTAACTGAAATGAAAAAATTCAGTAGAAAACACTCAAAAGCACATCACAAAAGAATCAGTAACCTTATAAACAGATCAACAGAAAATAAGAACTTTGAGTAGAACAACAGCAAAACAACATGAAAAAGTGAATAGAATCACACAGGTCTATGGGTCAAAGTAATCCAACCCAGTTGCAGCTGGAGTCCCTCAAAAGGGAATGAAAATGAAAAATGTTAAGGAAATAATGGCCCAACATATTCAAAGTTAGCAAAAAATTTGTGACACAGTGTATGGTCCCAAAATAAAGAGTACACTTGGCCAAATCCAAATTAAATTGCTAAAACCCAAAGATAATGCAAACTAGGAATTCTATATCCAGTATAAGTATGTAAAGGCAGCACAGATAAAACCTGGGAGAATTTAACAGCAGCAGAACTGCACCATCAAGGCAAGGGGCTGGCATTGTGGCACAATGAGTTAAGGTGCCACCTACAACAGTGGTATCCAATGTTTGGAGTCCTGGTTCAAGTCCTGACTGCTCCACTTCTGTTCCTGCTCCTGACTGATGCGCCTTGAAAAGTAGTGGAGGATGGCCCAAGTACCTAGGCCCCTGCCACCCACGTGGGAGACCTAGATAGAATTCTGGACTCCTAGATTTGGCCTGGCCCAGCCCTAGCTGATGTGGTCATTTGGGGAGGGAACCAGCAGATGAAAAATCTCTTTCTCTGTCACTCTGGCTTTAAGATAAAATAAATCTTTAAAAAAAAATTTCTATCATTAAATAAGCTGAAAAAGGAAGTTCTTTAGGCTGAAGATAAAAATAACACCAGGTGTTAACTAAAGTCTTCAGGAAGTAATGACAAAAATGAGAAGATATACATAATAGTCATAAGTATTAATTATCTTTCTTCTTTAAAATATATCATTTATCTTTTAAAGTAGCTGATGAATATTTTCTGCTATTTTAGCATAAAAGAACCCATAAATAATATGTAAGTGAATGAACAAAGTTGTATGTCAATAGAACTTATTTTTGGATACTGAAATTTGAATTTTATATAATTTTCATGTGAAAAAATTTTATTTTGAATTTTTTCAAACATTTCAAAGGTAAAAACTACTCGTAGCTCCAAATGTGTATAAAAACAGGCAGCAGGTTGAATTTACCTGCAGGCTTATTTACTTTTTTAAAATTATTTTTAGGTGCCAGTGCTATGGCTTAGTGAGTAAAGCTGCTGCCTACAGTGCCAGCATCTCATATGGGCACCGGTTCCAGTTCCAGCTGCTCCACTTCCAATCTGGCTCTCTGCTATGGCCCAGGAAAGCAGTAGAAGATGGCCCAAGTCCTTTGGCACCTGTACCCGCATGGGAGACCTGGAAGAAGCTCCTGGCTCCTGGCTTCAAGTTGGCCCAGCTCTGTTGCTGCCATCTGGGGAGTGAACCAGCAGATGAAGATATGTCTCTCTCTCTCTGCCTCTGCATCTCTGTAACTTTGCCTTTCAAATAAAAATATAAATCTTAAAAAAATTTTTAAATGCTTTTAAATATTTATATATTTTCATCTATTTTAAAATAACAGAAAGAGGTCTTTCATCTGCTAGTTTATTCCCCAAATGCCTGCAACAGGCAAAGCTGGGCCAGGATGAAGCCAGGAGTCCAGAACTCCATCCAGGTGTCCCATGTGGGTGGCAGAGCCCTGAACACGTGAGCCGTCATCTGTTG